GAAAGAAATTGAAAGAAATGCAGAGAAAGTGCTAGTTTTCAAAACCAGTTTCTTCTCCATTGGCCCAAAGTTGTTTCTGCTCATTTTTCTGTAAAATGATGTTCGTTACATAATCAGAAACACTTCAGAATCCCCAGTTACAGGAATTCTCATCCTGTTACTAAGGCAAACCACTCTGAAATTATATAGCAGTAATATAAAGTGCTATAAAAACAGCTCCCAAAACTGGCTATTTTAGCCTTTTAAAACTTAAAAGCATCTGTAGTCCCTGCAAGTTGTTGAACTGCTTATACACAAGCAAGAATGCTGCCCTTCTTCCAGAGCCAACTGGCACCTCAAAAATGAAGATGAAGGGTATAAAAAATAATTGTCATCACACAATGTTAGGAGACAGAAAAAAACCAAAACAGAACATCCTCCCCCTCAAAACCCCCAAAATAAAACTCAAAACGCAGTTCTTAAAAAAAATAAAATAAAATAAAAAATATCAGCAATTCTGAACACCAAAGTTTCAACTAAAAATCTCCAGTTTAAATAAAAGCAGGTGCCTGTGGTCCTTTCACACCACCACGCTGATGGCACAGGCCACTTCAAAGACCATTTCCTGCCCTTCCACAAGTTGAACAAGGCCTTGTTGATTTTGTGGTACCCTGTCCCCAGGTGCTGTATGGAGGCTGGCAGCAGCTCACACCAACCTCAGAAGCACAAGGCAGCTCTCGGTGGCTTCCTTGGATTCCAGACACCTGACACTCAGAACCATAAGTGTTGTCACCTACCTCTAAACACTCACGCTCTGATGCTGGCAGATTAAACGCCTGCACTCTGTGGGAACTGGTTTTGATGGCTGTTTACTTGCTCTGTCTCATAAAAGGGCTTCAAAAAAACCTTAGGAAAACCAATGATGAACACCTGCCAACTCCATATACATCTCTTGATCACTCAATATACATCCCTTGCTCCATGTGACAAAGCCAACAACTTATTGGATCACAACCAAGGAACCAGCCTAGGTGCTTGGCAGATACTGTGCCATGGGATACGCTTTCAAAAAGACCACTTCAAGCTAGTTGTGTTCTTCTGTATCACTTTGGGACATTCTTCTTAAATACATCTTTCCTTACCAACAATGCTTGCAAACAGCCTGCACATCTGGCTACACTCTTGGATACACATGACTGGAATAAATGCCACTGGTAGCTATTAGCAAAGGAGCAACTGTGAAGCATCATCAACAAAACACTTTAAACATTCAACCCACCACATGTTGGAAAGAGACAGGAGAGAGAGAGCGAGACTTAAAACAATCCATCAATGTTGCTTTATTAAAATCTTTATTCACACAATGTTGCTTTATGTGGAATCTGACCCCGGGGGATACAAGTAGAGAGTCATGATTACGTTCTGTTTTCTTATTAGCAACCTCCATTTGTGCAGCTGCTCCCAGGGGCAATCCTCTGATGGCTCCAAGAGGGGTGTCTGTTTCAAGCATCTTGCTCCAGCTGCCACAGCAAATAAATTACCTTCTTAATAAATTAGTATTTTTCCATTGAAGTTTGTTTGGCGAGACACACTCCAGTTCATTAGCTGGTGGAAGAGGAGCCGACTTCAGTGTTTCCTCCAACCTGACTGTTGACTTCAGAAGGAGATAAATAGCAGTTGGCTGATGATGCTCTGTTTTTAATTAGTTCTTGATTTCTGTGCTCCAAGCGCTCTGATATTACTCATATCCACAACATAACCATTTTGTAACATCTGGAGCCAGTGGATGACAGCACGCACAGTGAACAAGAATGAGGTGTCATGAAAGTCTCACCGACAGAGCACAGCACCTGCCTCTCAAGTAACACTATTTGTCTGAGATTCAAGCAGACCCTGTTTGCATGTGGATGCTGCTTCTTATTTCCCTTGCAATGGTTGCAGTTTAAAATTTCTCAGGGTTCTGTATTCAAGCAAATAGTGATCACTGACAGAACGTCAGAGATTATCACAAGGCCAAAATCAGATCTCCCCAGTTTTGGGTATGAGAGGAATTTATTCTGCTGCAGAACACCAAGTTCCAGTGGTGGTTGCAGTGACCAGCAGTGTCAATATGACCAAAAAAAAAAAAGCAAACTGTTTCTTGCTTCCTCCTCCTGCTGATGCTGGACTTCATGCCCTTTGTTCACAAGTAACCAATAAACTGCTTTAAATCTTTGACATTCATACCAGGGGGAAACATCCCCAGGTTCCATCTGACAACAAAAGCTCCAGCTTAGGGCCCCACAAACAAGCAACGTGTAAGCCCAAACCACTAATTTAATTTCATAAAGACAGACTTTTTTAAAATCCATTATTAATGATCAAGAGTGATCAAATATAAATCAAAACTTCAAATTTTGGCAGATCCTTCCCAAAATATTAAGTGCTCATGATTAAGCTCAAAGAAAAGAATAAGCTTTTCAAAATGCTGCAAGTCACTACCATGTGCTTTGCCATCTCCCCCTTGGGTAAACCATCTTCAATTTCCTGGGAAACAGTTTATACCAAAATGTCGCAGTATGAACCTATTCTGCTTCACAATAAAGCATTCACTAACCACCTAACCGTTGCCCACATGCTTCCCAAAACCACTGTGGGCCCAGGGCAACCAAGCCCCATGTGGCTCCTGCCCATGTTGCCATCAGCTGAGCTGCGTTAGTCCTGGCTAGTTACACCAGCAAGTTACTCCAGATCCCATCCTGACTCTGTGCAGGTCTGTGATGTGGCCAAGTCCAGAAGAGATCTAGAACATAAAATTAAATTTCAGATAAACAGTTGCATTCTACTTTCAAGATACTCTGCTCATGCAATGACAAAAAGACTTCAACAGAATAAACCTGCATTTTTAACATAAACTCTCTCACACACCTCTTTGATCAGGTATGGCAGCAAGAACAGGAAACAGCTCTTTATCTGCCTGCCGCTCTGCTGCAGAGCTAGAAAGACTGACAGATAAATCAAGGAAAAGGTCTAAAAGGACATTTTGATGCTCTTACTCACAGGCCCAATACTACACAACCACTTTGGGAAGTGAGCTCTTTCCTCACTTCTAAGGACCATACTGTCTCAACTAAAGATCAACACAAAGCTGTTGAATTTTGAAACAATGACAAAGTTCCTTCTCTCCTGGAGACGGAGATTCAGACCTACCACAGGTGTGACAAGTTTTATGGCCACTGGCTCATCCACACTGCAGGCTGACAGTGCTGAAGGATGACAGGATGAGCACAAGACAAGGGCTACAGGCCTGCCCCAAAAAGCCAACTTAGACCAGCTCTCCCCCATCTATGACAAAACGATTAGGAGAGAGTACCTCAGGATGACCACACCAGTCAGAACATTGCAGTGGTGGTTACAGGAAGCAGCTGGAGAAGGCAAAAATTTTACTGGACAAGCCAGGCCAGGTAGACACTGGGACAAAAAAACTGCTAGTGTCCACAAAACAGCAGCACTGAGCCATGGTTACAACATGGAGCAGCATCTCCAGATAAGATGAAGAAAGAGCACAGCTCAGGGTTCTGTCTGCTCTTCCTTCAAGGCCCTGCCCACAGCCCCCAGTAAGTCACTGGGGAAGTCCAGCAATACCAGTCTCTCTTCCTGGTGCAACCTGCCCAGATCCCCCACATTAAACAGGGCATACAGTAAACAGCATGACCTTGTCAAACCAAACCTTCTTCTGAGGACAGACTCCATCCTCCTCCTCAGCCACAGTATAGTGAAAATTTAGTTAATACAGACACAGGACTGCAAGGGTATTTTCTCTGCTCAGACATTGTTAGATTCCTTATGAATGGAAAACAGTGACAGGACATATTAACTTTAACCCCTTAATTACCAAGTGCTGTGTGACCACCCTGTCCTCTCCTAAATCTCCAACCCTGTGGATAATTCTTTGATAGGACTTCAGCAAAAACACTGAAGCATTAGCACATATGAGGCAAGCCCCTTTCCCAGCCTTTTGTCAAGGAACAGACAACTGAGCAGCAGAGGTTCCCTCTCCTACTCCTAATGAAATTCAGAAGAACATCCCACCCCCGGGGGGGGTGGCACAACTCTTCAGTCTAATAATTATTTTATTCACCACTTCCTCTTTCTCTAAAGAAGCAGTAAAATGCCTAACCAGCTCACAGCTGATTATGTACAACCCTGAATCAGCCAAAAACTCGCAAGAGTATACGTGGGCAAGAGAAGGGGAGAGGCTCATAATGTTCATCTCCATCTGTCCCTTCTGGGTTCAGTCCACAGATTAGCGCCCGTGTTCCCCCCACTGCCACCAACCCAAGAGCCACGCTTCCCCAGCGCAATGTCCACTGCCGGCAATGGACACACCACGGCAGCCACGACGCCGTCGCGGGCACCGAGCCCCCCAGGGCTCCAGCTCCCCACCTCCTGCTGCTCTCAGCCCAAGGGAGAAGCCAGTGAGGCCAGTTGTCACCTCCTTCCTCTGGCTCAGCAGCCTTCCTGTTCATTTCAGTCCATCTTGGCCACAGCCTTTCCAAACCGATTGTGCTGTTTTTCTATCACTTTTTTTTTTTTTTTTTTTTTTTTTAAAAGGAGTTTCCTTGGTGTTCCACTACCATTACAAATGAGACAGAGTCATCCTGTCTTCCACCAGCACGACCTCTGGCCCAAACTGGTCCGTGCACTGCTTCACTGTAGCCAGAATGCTGAGAAGCCGCTGGTCTAGGGCATCCAGATGAGGGTCAGAAAGCACTGGTGAGATGGGGTCATGCGACATAGCAGTTTTTAAGGCAGACTTCAGTACTCCATTCTTCAGGTAATTGAGTCTGTTCCAGGTGGAAACCCGGATGCTGCAGAAGAAACAAACACACATGTCATCTATCTCTGCAGCGCTAAGTTCCATCAGCAATACCAAAGCCAACCTCCCGAGGGAGCCTGTCCCATCAAGAACGGAGACCCATCACAAAAGGGGTTTGGGGACAGAGGGTCCAGGCGTATCTGCACTGTAAGCAATATCCAAGTGCCATTGGAAAACTGAGGGAGAAGAAGAAAGAATCTAATGTGATGTAATTCTTATGTTCTATAGGAACATTTTCAACTGATAGCAAAGTTCTTCAGTTCTGAGGCTCCCCAGACAGTTTGAAAAGGAAATAAAAGGGAAGAAAATTAACTGTGTGGCTGTTAAAACTAAAAACTCACATCACCTCAGAAAGAGCATTGCTGACCAACAATTAGCCACAGAGGACAAAAGCCACTTGACTGAACTTCCAAGAAAGTGAACATAGCAGCAATCCTTCTGCTTCAATGGGCTTTGAATTAACTCGTGTCACCTCATCTAAATTGACTTGTTCAGTGAAGTCTTGCTGGATTCTCCCTCAAATCCTTGAGTTTTAGCACCACTAGTCTAAACTCTTGGCTTCTCATGGCCTCCAAAGAAACCAGCAATATAAACAAGTGTGGTAAGAAACCTATAGTTAAAGGAATTACACTTATGAATTGTTACATGGCATTTGCCTGGTATCAGAAAGAAAGAGCATCTGAAAAGCAGAAAGCTGCAAAGTCTATTACATAGATAAACCTCTATTCTGGTTGCATGTGGGAAAATTTAGATGCAAAGACTCCAAAAGATCCTTATAAAACAGGAAATCAATAAATGCATTTAAACTTAATGTAGGAAAACTGAAAGAAATTGAAAATAATTGAATAGTTCTCCATATGGATGCTGCAAGAATATTGCAGAACATAGGCCAGGTGTACTGTAGCACGCATCGAGCCTTGCTTAGCACAAGCAGGGGGTGAGAGCTCAGGCTTTCTGCAGAGCTTCCAGGTTTCACAGGCTCCAAGGTATTTGGGAGACAGAACCCTCTAAGGACAGGCTCAAGGAACTCTCATGTAAATGCTTAATTTGAAAGGCTTAAATGAGTTAATGTTATCTTGAAGGCAGGAAATGGATATATCAGTATTTTTCTTCCTGGTACGTTTATCCCTTTGCTGATGAGAAGCCTGGTGAGAGTGGGCACAGAAAACAGAAATCAACAAGTCACAGCCTCTAAAAATAAAACTAACAAAACCCCAGCTCACGAGGCTAAAGCAGAAACAAAATCCTGCAAAAACCTACAAACTTCACTTTGAAAGAAGCACCTAAGCAGTGGAGCAGTCTTGTCTAGAGAGAATATTTGGAAACAAAGGTAGTTAAGCTGCCAGACACATTGTCTTAGCTTCTGTCAGGAGAACTCAAACTGTGATGTGAACTTTTATTTGTCAGGAGTTGGATGGAGACAGCTGCAGATGCAAAATACCTGCCATTCTGACTAAAGATGGATTTCAACCAGTGACCTGGAGGCAAGTCTACTTCTGCAGTCTACCATTTCATTTACTACCTTAATGAAAATGCATTTCTCAGCTTCTTGAGCAGTGATAATACATCAAACACACACAGTACCTCCAGAAAGTAAAGCACTATGTACCCAAGCAAACATTTTCAGGTTGCCAGAAGGCTTTAAACTTAATTATATTGCAAACTTAAGGGCAGCAACTGCATAAATAAAGTGAACAGCATCCCTGCATTTCACTTACATGCAGCACTGATAAAGAGGAGCCAAGATGCTTCTTTCATCCAGGGCGGGGTTTCCAAAGCTGAAAAGCAAAATTAAAACCAAGTGAACCAGCTGCACTCCTAATGTTGTTCTCAACATCAACAGATTTGTAAAGATTTTTTTTTTTAAAAAAATCAATAAGAGGCAATTTCATGCTCCAACAGATCAAATAATTTCAATTAAAATATAAACAGGCCACGACCAATTACAGATACAACTCTCAACAGCATCACCTAATGTAGCAGGTAAACAGAAACACCACCAGTGTAACTAGTTCTTTATCAGACCAAGGCACCTCAAAAATGAACTTCAGAGGAGTTCAGAAACGGAGCTCATCCTGTGAAGGAGGGGAAAGGACTAATTGTTATTCAGGACAGAGAGCAGGGGAGCTTTGCCTGTCTGGCAGGGCTGACAGGAGCGAACAAACTGCCAGCCACGTGCGGGTTTCGGTGGCCAAGCTCAGATCAACAGTTCAGCTAGTAAGGTGATCAACTTCAGCATTTCATGACCACACTTTCTACGGGAGGCCCGTCAAGAGGATTTCATCTTATTTCAAGCTTCACCTAAACACATGGAGAGGTCTGGGGGGTCTTTGTTTGCTGTTTTTTTTATAGTTTTACCTCTCTCATGATACTGTTTCCAATATAGAACTTTCCCCTCAATAAAAGTAACTTATTCTAGGAGTCTGGCATTACTCTACTCAAACAATTCTCTTATTAGTAGCTTTAAAACTAGAATAAGCTCCCCAGGGAAGTGGTCACGGCACTAAGGAGTGTCTGGACAATGCTCTTAGTCATATGGTTTAATTTTAGGTAGTCATTCAAGGAGTTGGAGTAAATGATCTTTATGGGTCCCTTCCAACCTGAGATATTTTACGACTCGGAAAAAATTGTCCCCCTATCCTTCATCTCAAAGGAGCTCAAAGAACCCCACTTAAGCCTTCAAGAAGACAACCTAATTCTGAGCCTGCAAAGCCCCACAGGAAATGTTTTCGTAACGTTATAAGCACATACCATATTGAGAGCTCTGCCATGACCTCCAACTACCGCGTTCACTTCCAGCAACTAAGCCATTAACTTCTTCCTAGCACAGTGCCAGAACATTATAGAAAGGTGAATTTGGAAAAAATTGTCTAAGGCAGTCTGAAAGCAGCTATAATTAAGTAGTCCCAAGGCGGAACACATCCTGCTCACAAAACTGAAGGAATGTTACTGAACAGGCTGATGCAGAAAGACAAAATACTCAATTCAGCCACTGCAGGCAAATTCGAAAGGAAGGAAGGAAGGCAGGAAGGAATCCACTGTACGAAAGGCAAACGTGGAAAGAAATGGTAAACCCAAGCCTTCTAACGATGTGTCTAGATGAGAGGTCTCAACTGTTGTGTACGCTTCAGGTAAGTGGTATGCAAAGCTGCTGCAGAGCAAAGCCTGGCACTGAAATTGCCTTCAGAAGCTAGTCCACCCAGCTTCTGTTTCCCCTTCCAGAGAAGGTGAAACTCACAGCCACTGCAGGTGGTAGTGCCCATCAGAAAAAAAATAAATAAATTGGGAGTTTCTGGACTAAATAATGAGCAAGTGAAATAGGTTCTCTCAGGTTTTAGGAAACATTAAGCAAACTGTTATGATTTAAGCAAGGCCGTATCTTCAATAACTAACTTCAACTATACCAGCCAACATACAAAAACTATAGCAAAGACAAAACAACTCACATTTTAAACACATACACATAGTAAAGCTTGGCCTCAAGAAGGACTTCTCACCAGTTCCTCTCAGTTCTTCCCTGTTACTACATGCTTCATTTCTATTTCAATAAGAATTAATGTCCACACACAGGACATTACCATATTTTGCTCTCAGTATCAGTTCTATCTCCATTTTAAACTTTGAACCCTTTAAAGCCTGAGCAGACATATCCATAAGGTAGGGAATGCCAAAATGTTCTGAGACAAGTTTCAAAAGATGTTTTTACTATGGCATTCAGAAATACTCAGTGGTAAATAAAAAAATCATTATTTTTTAACCTTCAATTAATTAAAAGCATAAAAGGGAGGGGCTTTTCTAGGGATAGGAGGAGACAGACAAGCTAACCTTTGAAAGTTGCTTGGGGAAAAAAGGTTGCACTGGGCTAATTTGGGAGTTTCTGTAGTTTAAGTGAGACTTTGCCCAAAGCAGTCATAGTATCTAGAGCACAGAGAAAGCACCACAACCTCAAAGGACCCTAATATTTAATAATTTCTAATAAGAAGGAAAACTTGGGATTTTTAGCACAAAAGTTATTAATGAAATAATTAGAAAGAAAAAAAAAAAAGATACAGAGTAGGTAAATGTGTGCCCTTGTGCTCGTCACTGCCTGGCCATCAGGATTTCCTTACCCATACCTTTTGGCATTATCCAGGAGGATGAGCATACTGGCTCCTTCATCATCCTGGAAACTCTCATAGTGATGCCGGTCAGCATTCCCAATCAAATAGTCAAAGATGGCAGTGTCAATGATATCAAGGAGACGAGGACCCGAGTCATATGGTGAAGTCTTCTTCACAGCATCACAGTAGCTTTCATCATACTCCCATCTGCAGGCCATCCAGAGAAGCCAAATCAGATCTCCAAGGAACACCCCATCATTGCACACCAACGGAGTTTACAGCTGCCCCTTTATTCACTTATGAGCGCATAAAGAAAAGGTCAGCCCAGCAAAACAAGGTCAGTTTGCTTCCTGGCTGCTCACAGCTCAGCAGCGGCTGGGACGCCTCATGGCGAGATGTCTGTCGTGACTCACCTCCCTTAACTTCCTAACTAAGGATTTCCAAGTACTGTGTCTAATTCTATTGCCTTTATCTGCTTCCATCAGTCTTCCTTTCCAGCAATCCTCTTCATTTTTCCTTTCTAAGCCAAATAACCTCATCATGCTTACTAATGACCTCCTCCATCCTGAAGAAAAGGGCCTCATAAGTGTTTGTTCTCCTTCGCTCTTTCCTCCCTGCTTTCCTTTCAGAGTATCTCACCTTCTACCCTGTCAAGATTTCAGGCTTCCCTTTTCTCTACACAGAACCTAAGCATGTACTTCAGATCTGGTAACACACATTTCATGTCTCAATTCTCCAAAGTTAGGTTTTTACATTTTCTCATTTTCTTACTTAAAATTTTCAAAGCTACTCAACACCACCATCAAAACAGCCAAACCTCTACTGTATATCTTTTCCATCTGCCAACCTAAATAATGAGTACATCTGCAACATCTTCTATGTAAGGACTGAAAAAATCCTTCACAAAACAGCATTTAAGTTGGAAATGCCTTAAACCATCTGTGACTTGGAAACAGAAATGGAGGAAACACAAGCTGGAGAGACTCGCTGACATGCTCAGAATTGCAGATAGTCATAAAAGCAGGGAGAAGATCAGAATTTAACTACCAGAACTGCCACATACCCCACATCATCTTCCAGAAGTCTGGAGCCTAAGCTCCCAATATCCTACCCTTCCTCCACTTATCCAAATCAGAGTGGCCAAAAATTCATCTTCTCAATGTTTTTGCTAACATGTCACAGGCACTCCTCAAATTCTGTCTCTAGTTCCTTCTTTTTTTTTTTCCCCATCAAGGTCCAACTCACATTCAACTTGGCACACAAATCCACAAGGCAAAAGTCTCAGAACATATTCCTCCTTTCACTGGTTATATTTCTTTTATGCTACATCCCTCTCTCCCTCAAGTGTTTCTTCTTCCTCTCTTTTTACTTGAGAGAAGTACTTAAGCTCCTTGCAGTAATTTCCCAGTTATACTGTGCACTCTCTTCTCATTTTCCCTTCTGTCTTTCAAGACAGACCTTTCCCTGACTTTTATTTCTGATCATTTATACTTTATTAGTATAGTACTTTGAAGGTCAGGGATTTTATGTATTACATGTCCATTAAAAGTTACGTACACTAATGTGACTATATGAATTATGTTCAAAAGGTCAAGTCAGGACAGAGTAGAAGCAGCTAGTTCAGGAAAAAAAATTCCTACAGTTATTTTTCTGTAATTACCAGACACAGAAAAAGGAGAACCAGACATCTAGAATGCTTAATTCTCCCGATGCTCTCAAAGTGAACAGCACAACATGAAAAAGTGCAAAACAACAGAACCATGCAATCCCATCTAAACAAGACAAGAGCAGGGAAGCTGAAAATAGAGTGACTATCAAATCAGCATAGGTATCAGGGTGTAAGCAGGCAGTTCATGATGAAGAACGGTCCTCAGAAGGAGAAACACCTCCAAGAAATTCAGTCCATTCATTACTGCAATTTACTATGTACTAAATAGTGCTGATTTTGACCTTTTGGAAAGGAGGTGGCATCTGCTGCTCAAAAATCAAACTGTATATTTAATACTCAATTCAATGAAGCCTTTGGACAAGATTCTTTTTGAGAACAATCAAGTCATTGGAAATCAATGCATATTTTACATCAAGGACTAAAAATATCTTTCTAATCACTTGCCCAGGACACAGACTCAGAAATATTTACTAGGCTCAAAGCCATTTGCTCAGGTTAGGACAAATGCATCTCCAACACAAACCCTCAGACATGTTGCATCTATCGTACGCTATTGCTAGCTCCCATGTTTGTCCTTCTCTAAAAGCATTCTTCAGATGCTGGGCATGGTGACCAAATACTGACGGTATGCAAAGCAAAGAAAACTTTTCAGAGCCTACCTATGTAAGCTAAACCAGCTCCCACAACTCTTGAAAATAAAAGGACCATGAAATCATGTCTGGCAGAAAACAGCACAGTGCTGACACATTTCAGTGGGCCACAGAGGCACAGAGTCAAAATAAGGTCTAGTGGCACAATAGAAGAGTCTCAGTCTGCCCAGATCCAAGATTTTCAGAGCTCAGAGCAGGTGCATGGTGGAGCTCTGTCTGTTCCAGCCACAAAGTACGAAAAGGACAGCACTTAGTATCGTGGAAAACAATGAAGATTTCTTTCTTGCTCATTTTTATTTAAATCTTATCCTAGACTTCTTGACTTCTACTGTCCTATCAAGAAAGCTGTTGGCAAAGCTCTAGATTTTGAGAACACTCACTCCTTAATTAGCCATTGTATTGCAAGGGTAATTCTAGTACAAACTATCATCTATAAACAATAATTCTATCATGTTCTCATACCTGGCAAGTTTGCCTTCACGGTAAGTCCTACCCCATGGGTGCCGGTGTTTCTGAAGAGGCCAGACATCTGGCAGCCACAGAGTCACTGATCCCTCCATGATGTCCCCATCTGCACAAGCTGGTTCTGTTTCCCGACAGTAGTAGCACTTCCCATAGAAGCAAGTGTTATTACCTTCAAAAAAGAAAATAAATATCAAATATCAAATAAGTATCGAACCCGCCGAACTTAATCCAAGGGATACCAATTGAAATTCAGGAATGTATTGCTGCAGCAGAGCCTTCCCTGCAATAGGATTTCACTGCACTTGACCTCATGCTTCCCACCTCTGAGAAGGAGAGGCTCAGAAGACTTTAAACAGACATCTACTCACTCAAAGCAACATTAAAGACTAATATTCAAATGAGAGAGTAATTGTATTTTATAATATTTTTTTATCACACTGGCCGTTAATACAACATTGGACTATCAACAAGTGTATGTGATCAATTCCTGGACCTTGATTGTGCAACTATAACACTGCTTGTTTTTTTACATTTCACACTTCATGTGCCAGATTTCCCACTTTTTAAAAAAAGTTGACCCAAAAGAGACAATTGAAAAAAGACCAAGCAGAAATCAAAAGGATTTGGAGCTCTGAGACCTGCTACACATTTCAGTTACTTGAGCTGACTTGGCAGGGGAAACACAAACAAATTGTCATTCTTATATGATCTGTGAATGCAGATCTGCCAAAAGTTTCATGGGTGTCTTCTGACAGAGGAGGAACAATGAAACCTTGCAGTCTTTAGTCTGTTAGGGCCTGTGTCGCCTGTAGTGTAAAGTAATGGATGCAGCCTACATTAACATTTTCAGCTTAACCTTTTCTATTTCATCCTTTTAACCCACCTTTCCTTGACCCTTGCCAAATTAATTCCAGTTCCATACTCACAGATGTTCTTCCAAAATGTTCTTCAGCTATGTCTCACTTCCTTGTGATTCCACTTACTTCCTGTGCTTTCTTCCTTCCATCCAACACGCTCCCCAAACCAGGCCTAGTTCACTGAAAGATGTGTTCTTTGCTTTCCATTCTTACACATCACAGTCCCTTAGCAGCCAGCAGTCCTTCACAGTTCTCCATCCAGACCTGGCTCTTGTGCTCCCACTACCCATCAGACAACTTGAGGCCAGCAGAGAGATGACTAACAACACAGAGTTTGCAGCAGAGCAGATCTCTTACCTGTATAGAAAGCCCTGTAAGCCCCTCTTCCCATTCATGGCCTGCAGCAGGTCCAGCAAGAGACAGGATTTATAGAATCACAGAATAGTAGTGTCTGAAAGGAACCTCTGGAGATGATGTTGTCCATCCTCCCTGCTCGAAACCTAACACAGGTTCACCTAGAGCAGGAACATGCCTTGGCAGGTTTTGCAAGTTTCCAGAGAAGCAGACTCCACAACCACTCTGGGCAGCCTGCTCCCAGGCTCTAGTGCACTTACAGGAAAGATGTTTTTCCTTATGTTCAGATGGAACCTCCTGTGTTCCAGTTTATGGCTGTTGCCCCATGTCCTGTCACTGGGCACCACTGAAAAGAATCCGGCCCCATCGTCTTGACACTTGCTCTTTAGATATTGATAAGCACTGATAGGTTCTCCTCTCAGTCTGTTCTTCTCCAGGCTAAACAGCCCCAGGTCTCTCAGCCTTTCCTCATCAGAGGGATGCTCCAGTCCCCTCAGCATCTTTGTAGCCTCTGCTGAACTCTCTCCAGTAGTTCCTTGTTTCTTTCAACCTGTCCAGAACAGGACACAGTACTCCAGATGTAGCCCCACTAGAGCAGAGCAGAGAGGGAGGAGAACCTTCCTCCACCTGCTGGCCACATTCTCTTTAATGCACCACAGGATGGCATTGGCCTTGTTGGCTACAAGTGCACTTTTGAGATTCTTTTGAGATTAGCTGCAACACTAGCAAAGCTGCTCTGAGTGGGAGAAAGTTATCTTTTCATCAAAACCTCAGAAACCTGACCAAATTTGGGTTGACAAAAGACCACAACCTCCTCCCCAGAGAACTGGCGGTTCCATGGAATCTACGGCAAGGCGATGAGCATTTCTGGACCCATGCTTTTCAAGTCAGCATTTCTGCTAGAAAATGTTTAGTTTTCTTGGCTGAAATTAGAAAAAGTAAAGTCTGCCTGAAGCAGACACTCAATGTGAATGCAAAACAAGTGGCAAGGCAGAGCTGCTCTCATCTGAAAGTTACACCTTGTAACTGACAGCATTAGACAAACCTCGCAAGACTACAAACAGTAGTGGTAATAGAACCAGATTTATCAGCTGTAACAAACAACTCCAGAGTCTTTTTGTTAGAAAGGAGGAAAAAAGAAAGGAGAGTAATAATTGGATATTTTAGGAAAGCCTGAAGGAGTTAAGGCTGTAGCATAAGTAATTTCATGGTGCTTATTGACCACCTGGTAGGAGTTCGAATTAACAACTCCCATTAAGTGTCCTTCAAAGCATTATTACTGTAAACAACATACGGGCGTTCTGACACATTTAGCTACCAATGCTCAGCAGACTCTGATGTAGCACAAACAACATCCAATACCAACCGATGCATCAACCTTATAAATTATCCCAAATCACCACTGTGGTCCCATTAAATACAACTCCAGTTTTCTTCTTTCAGGTCTAATCATAGGCTTTTCTAACCACGTCTGACAGCAGCAAGAGAATTCTTATTCAATAAAAAAATCCCATCTGCAACAGCAGCAGGAGGGAACACAGAGAAGGTACAGAGGAAAAACTGCTTGGAGAAATCAACTGGGGTAGTGGGAGCACAAGAGCCAGGTCTGGCTGGAGAACTGGGAAGAAGGTTCTGGCTGGCTAAGCCCTCCTCCCCCACCAAACAGGGCTATACAAGCATTAGGATCTCTCTTGGCACAGAGACTCACCAGCTTCCTGTATCATAGTTAACTGTAACTGTGTCAGATTCCCATGGCTCTTTTCCCCCATTGAACAGTTTTTTCTTTGCTGGGCTGCACAAGCCATGGAATCCACTTACCCACAGTCATGAAGGTGCCCAGAAGCTGCTCTGTGGCTACAGGCTTGATCTCTGTACGTAGATTCACGAACCTGCCAACCACTAGTGGAGCTCTTCGGAAACCCAGAATTCTAATTTGAGGTGAAAAAACATGATGTAAGAATTTGCAACACAGGCAGCAATTCTAAATCAAACCAAAAACACAGTCTCTGTGCCATCATCTGAAATTGAGATGACTGAGACCAAGGAATAAGTTGAAACCCTCCAGCAACCTCTTCTCTTCTCCAAGGCAACATAAGGAAACTCATTTTTCTTAAGTGTCTGGATGTTAAACTTGCTTTACAGGCCATCAGTGACACTGCTTGATTATAGCGTTTGCAGCAGAGCAACACAGGATGCACCATGCTCCAACTCTCAGAAATCAGACCAGAAATATGCATCATCTGTTTGGTGCATAGGCTTAAGCAGTCACCATATGGCCTTTGGGCTGGTCAGCTGGAAAGATCATTTATAATTTGTGGGAATTACTATCTACTAAAATGTTATGTTTAAGCCAAATTCAAATATACCTGAAAGTAAACAATCTAGGAGTTATTTTGTTTGGCATAAGAGGGAAAAAGGGAAGAGTGAATGGTAGAACCAAACTGAATGCCTGAAGTACTTGGAGAAAAAGAAGAAAGGTGGGAAGAATAATCATAAAACTTGCGATCACAAGATCCAGGTTCCACTCCCATGTCTGCCACAGCCTTTGCTCTGTGACCACAAATGACCTGGTTATTTGTAATGGAAGTTACAAAGTGTTTAAAGAAGGAATACAAACATCAGAACAATGTCAACCCCAACTCTCAGTGTACTTTTGACATGCTTTTGATAGCCCCTGCATCTCAAAAAGAGAGACTGAAAAGGGACTGTCCCTTCTGAAAAGAAGTCACAGAATCATTTTGGTTGGAAGAGACCTTTAAAATCATCAATTCCAACCATTAACCCAGCACTGCCACGTCACCACTAAACTGTGTCGCTCAGCACAACATCCACATGGCTTTTCAACCCCTCCAAGGATGGGGACTCCACCAATGCCCTGGGCAGCCTGTTCCAGGGCTTGACAACCCTTTCTGCCAAGAAATTTTTCCTAACATTCAACATAAACCTCCCCTGGCTCAACTTGAGGCTGTTTCCTCTTGTTCTATCACTTGTTACTTGGAAGAACAGACCCAAAGGAACAATCTACATTCTACAGACATACTGGGAAGGTCACTCCAACAGCTACTTTTTTTTTTTTTTTTTTAATACCGGGAAGGGCCCCCCAACAGCTACTTTTTTTTTTTTTTTTTTTTTATATTCAACAAGTCCCCTCCATAACTATAAAATACCTCTAACAAAGGGCAAAACAAAACGTCTGCCTGAACAAATCATGTATGCATGAAGACAAATTTACAGCCAATGCAGAGAGTTATGTACAGCTTGAGAAAACCCAGGTCTTCCAGGTAAATAAGCACAGAGCTCAGATCTCGACATCCTAGGCCTGTATTTTCAGGCCCATAGCTGAAAGGACACTATCCTGGACAGCACATCCTCCTCATGAGTGGTAAACATACAATATAATTCAGATCCTTCTTGAAACAATGGCATCCTCAAACAAAATATGGAACTGTCATCATCCAAAACAAACATACTTGCTAAAGTTACATGGGCAGGTAGCTTCTGCTAGGTATTCTTGAAGAATATAGAGCTGCATACCCACAGTGAGAGGATAAAGGCCAGAGAAACAAGCACAAACCCACAAACAAATAGCCAGCAAGAAAGAGCTACGAAAGAGGGGTTTGGACACTGGAAAGAGGTTTTGAATTGTTTGACTGCTGATTTTTAAGGGAAACAAAAGTCTGTGTGTTCCTTGAACACACAGATAACAGACATCTGGCTACATCGTGGTCTTTCGGTCTTAAAATACCCTGGCTTTGGCCTACCAACTCAAGACTGCAACAGCAGCAATGATGTTACATAACTAGTTATCACCAAACCTTCCTAGAATCACTGATTTCCATTGCCTGTGCAAGGGGTTCACAGATGAATTAGGACTAACAAACATACCTTTTGCCACTTATGAATTCAGGCACAGCAATAATTTATAATAGTGCATAATTATTTATGCACTGAGAAACTTCAGTTTAAGTTCAACCATTCTATTTTTTAACTATATTTATCCTCCCTTATTTCCTTTCCCAAGACTTTAAGTTACTTCATGTAAGAATTTTTCACATCTGGAATTTTCAGAAATCTTCTTCAAAGTGCCAACATAGACCCGTAACAATTAGGAGACCAAGACTGAGCTCCTTTAGTCTAGGTGAAACCACATCTTTGAGAGCATTTCATAACTACTGACATTCAGTGTTTGGTGTTTTCTGTCCCATCCTTTTTAACTTAGGTTTTCTTCTGGTAATTGCACCTCCAGCTCAGGTCCACAAAATCACCTGGGTCCCCCTGAATGCAATTAATACAGGAACAGCTGTTTTTCCTCTAAGATGCACTGATTCATGCTTAGTCGAGATTAAATTTTTAGCCTAGACATTAGATTTAACTTTTCAGTGTACTAGTCACTAACTTAGCAAATACATTCAGCATTTCAGACTCTTTCAAAGGATTTGGCTAAGCCCTTTCTTCCACGTAATATGAGTATCAGTGGTTTCAGTGCTCATTCTTCAGGTTTTTTTAAGTGTCAGAATCTTGCACAGATCTTTGAAATGAAGTTTCACAAAAAAGCTGACTTTCCTTTTGGCTGCACTGTGCTATATTGGCAGGTTAGAAATTGCTCACATCTGGTGTATTCTTCAAGGAACTCCTTTTTCCCCTCAACTCTGAGAAAGTGTTTACCAGAGACAACAGAACCAAATAACTCCATACCTATCCAAGTGAAAGGCTGCCACTTCTGCGTTGTGTCTGTCATAGCCAGCGTATGGTTCTCCCTCCACTACATAATCCCTGGCATACCTGTAATTGAAGTAAGTGAGATAAAGTGATTCATGCAGGACTTTGATAAATTTTGCTGTTCAGAGTAACATGCGCAGTAACAGTGCTCTGTGAAACAGACTCCAGGTCACTTCCAAAATGACTGGCAATTGGAGAAGGACAAAAAATATTATTTTTGTTTTATTACAAAATTATTATTTTGTAAATAAGGAGGAAAGGTCAGTAATGTACAGTGGCCTGAAGAGCTTGGGAAATGGCACCCATTCAAACTCATGAGTTTTAATTCAAAAGACCCAGCTAAAGAACAGGAGACTTTATACTGGAAAGCAGCAACTCCACAAAGGATATTTGGGTTAGAGTGGATTGTCGACTAACACGAAAATACAATCTGATATTGTGGAAGAAATGCCAAATGCAATCTCTAGTAGCTAGAAGGTCAGCAAGTGTGAACCAGAGGACAATACCACATATCAAAAGACCCTTTTTTCTGGTGGAGAAAAGACATAATGAACAGCAAGAAACATAAATCAGACACCCATTACAACAACAATGGTATATTTTAGTGAAGTGGTGGGCTTTATTTCCATATTTTTTTTTTTTCTTTTTAATAGAAGTTTCTTAAATACTCAAGGCAAACAGTTTTCCAAGATTCACAACATTTGAATCAGGTCTAGATACTGCTCAAGAAGGATGCTTCAGATGAGCATAAAATATCACAATCTATACTGAGCAATCAGGTGAAATGCCATACATTTTCCAAAAATGTGAGGCTTAATTAGATTACCTATTTTCTCATTTCCATCTATGTATCAAATTGTGTAAACTGGATTATTTCTAAGAGACTCAGGGTTCAAGCAGCAGCAGCAACAGTGTAAGAGAAGGAACAGTGCTCTACTTTATTGTTTTAGCTCTGCTCAGAGGAGCTCTGGGGCTAGATGACATTTCATCAGTTTGAGCAAATGCTTTAGCTTCTCTGCAAGGCAGTTCAAAAGAGGATTAACCAGTGCAAGATGGTATGGAGTTTTTGGGAGGAGGATTTGCTAGATCCCTATCAAAACAGAACTTACACCAAACAGGCATCTATTTCATGTATACCACTGGCATGTGACAGTAGCAGCTATTAATCATTAGTAACTTAGGCTGGATTTCATGTATCTTCGAAATGAGACAGCTACCCATCAGAACCTGCCCTTAAAGTCAAGTCTTTTGTATGTACCGACAGCAGGCTTTTGAAAACATGGTCACATGGAAGCAAGAATTCAGTTATGTTTTACCAATAAGTTTTATTTCTGCAGCTTTCAAAATCATTGACTCATATAATGTTTTGGGTTGGACTTAAGGACATCTAACCCAATCCCCCTGGAGTAAGCAGGGACACCTTCAACTAGAACAGGTTTTTCAGAGCTCCATCCAACCTCACCTGGAATGGTCCCAGCGATGGGGCACCTACCACCTCTCTGGGCAACTTGGGCCAGTGTTTCACTTTCACCACCCTAACTGTAAAAACTTCTTCCACCTTGTCTAAATCTCCACTCTTTTAGTTGAAAAACATCACCTGTCACAACAGGCCCTGCTAAAGAGACTGTCCCCATCTTTCTCACAGGCCCCTTAATGTATTGAAAGGCTGCAGTAAGGTCTCCCCAGAGCCTTCTCTTCTCCAGGCTGAAAAACCCCAGCTCTATCAGCCTGGCCTCACCCCAGAGGGGTTCCAGCCCTCAGACCACTTTTGTGGCCTCCTCTGGACCTGCTCCAACAGGTCCATCTCTTACCCGTGCTGAGGACTCCAGAGCTGGACCCAGCACTGCAGGTGGTTCTATGATTCTTTAATTTTGAAAGCTGCAGAGCTAAAACTTAATGGTAAAACACAACCAAATTCTTGCTTCCATGCACGGAAGGCATCTGGTCCTTTCTAGAGCAAAAGTAACAGAAGAATTCATTTTTCCTCAACCAGTAAGTTTTCCTAGAATGTTTTGTAATAGTGACCAACATACCTTTCAGGTCACACAGACTATCTTGCAATGACAGAACAAGACTCTACCTACAACTGTCACTACAGGTCCACCAGTATGGCTAGGGCAGTATCATCTAGTGCTCATACAAACATTCACAGCTCCACAGGTCTTTGATGGACCACAGTCACTGTGTTTGTTGCATGGTCATTCCATTCTGGGAATGTAATTTAATGCTCAGTGGAAGGCTTTGCACCACTCACTCACACAGAAAGCACTATAGAGATGCCATGTCTTGTTACTGCCTCTATTAGCTGAGCTGCCTGTCCTACCACCAAGGCTTCCATGTGAAAGGTTCACACTGTCTAAACACAGCCTAACCCCACAGTGAAGCTCCAGCCAGACCAGTCGTTGACCACACAGAAACAAGACTGTGAAGTCAAGAAATGGAGGGCAGATTTTTTTTTTTTCCTCATTCTCTAATGACTCATTAACATGACAGAAAAACTTCATGCTTGCTCAACCCAATATCGTTTGGAGAGAGAGAGAATGACAGCACCTTACATTTGCAGTGCACTCCCATAAAACACACCTGTCTTACTTTTTCACATATTTCTTTCTTCTCCTTTTCCCTGAAGGCAAACAGTTTAAAAAGCTTTACAGACATGCACAACACTCTTCATAAATGTTCAGTCATGTCAAATTTCCCTGCAGATCACTGTGAACAGAGACTATCCCAAGGAATTATCACTATCCACCCAGTCTTTCATTGCTCCTCCAGTAGCCACTATCAGCAGACAGCAAACTCAGGGGCCCTCACTCTCACCTACCCAAGCCATTTTTACAGTCTGCAGGCAGCAACACCTAGCACCCAGATCTACTTTTAAATCCCCTGTCAACTTCCATTCCTTCCCTCTCCTTTATCTGCATTCTCTCATGGCAGTTTGATATGACTCTTACTCAGAAAGAGCAGGCAAGACTTGTCTCCACACTGCCAGAACCTGCCCTTCCACAGTCAGGAAGATACTGCCCAGAAACATCAGGTTTAACCAATGTTCCCTCAAGACTTACTGCAATGCTTATCCTTTTAACCTAAAGACAGGCTCTTTTGAGCATCAAAGCTGTATGGCCTGAGAGACAGCTGGCACAGCAACCTCATACTGCTGGAGGACCCGCAAGGCTCTATACTGTATGTCTCTCAAATAACAGAGTGGTCCTCCCATTCACATGTAAATTTGTAACTTAAACATTAATGCAACAACACAGAGATTAAAAAAAAAAATATTTAAAAAACCACATAAGGCAGTTATTAATGTGGTCACTGAAGGCAGTATTTACCTCTTGGGTTTGAAGACAACCTTCTGTCCTCCTTCAAGTATGAGCAAAGCTTTCAGCTGGGTCCCTTTGTATCCCACATCAGCTTTTACTATTTTCTTTGTTGTCATGGCGTGCATAACAGCCCCCAGCTCGGGCGTCTCCTCGGGATACACCTCCCGGGGCACTACCCACTGGGCTGCAATCTCCCAAGGGGACTGCAAGGTGTGGTCGAGGCGGGGATCCAGCTCCACGTGGAGGCTGGCCATCATCCGGTGAAAGGCGCGCTGGTCCTCCCGGTTGGCAGCTGAGGTGTCCAAGTTGTCGATGAGGAAAACTTTTGTGAAAATGAAGATGACGAGGAGGATGGCCAACAGCACAACCCGCTGCTTTAGCTTCATGGTGGTCTTCAACCCTTCTCCCCTGACCCTTTCTTCCAAGTGTTACAGGAAGTCTATCAGAGATCAGGGTGAGGAAGGGGACGTTAGTTAATGAATTTCGTTCATAACTTCCGTTGTGAAAGAGGTATCACCACTGAAACATCTTCTGGTACCTCTAAAAAGAAAAAAACCCACAGACTTACAAAACTGCATTCCTACAGATTCCACCAAACTCAACTTCAAATTTATTCTTGGATTAAGTCTGTGTTTATATAACCTTGTACCCTAAAGGCCAAACACTGCTGCTAACACATATGGGGTTTGCTGTCTTCCTGTAGCCTTCCAGAGATCTGCATGAAAGGGGAAATTGCCTGATAGCATCTTTACACAGCTGAACTCAGAACAGCTGCAACTACTGTGGGCAAGACTTTTGCAGAGAACTGTAGTTGAAGTTGATGGCTTCAATCTCACAAACACTTTTGCCTAGTAAGAGACGCATGACCTCTGGCTTCCCAAAGATTTGTCTCTCAAGCGAGAGCTCCCAGGTAGATTTCCCAACATCTGACAAGTGGCGAGAACAGCTGCACAGCTTAGGTTCCTGAGGTACAAGACATAAGGATGGAATAGACTTAGTTTTTTCATTGCCTCTCATTTGCTGTCTCGACAATTTACCTGTCTTTTTTTCAATTAAAAAACACCAAAAAAAAAAAAATTAAAAAAAAAACAAAACCAAGCCCACCCCCCCCCCAAAAAAAAAGCCAACACCAAAACGGAAGGGGGACATCTTTATTTCCTTGCAGTTAAATGTGTCTTCTGCAGTCAACTGTAAAACCAATAACCACAAAAAATATCTGTAATCTCAAAAGCAAATTAACAAGAAAAAACCCAAACATTAATACTGCTGCTTCTCAGAAACCTCACCTACACCACAATTACAGTCACGTCTGCGTTTCTGTATTCACAATGGGCTGCAAGATATCTCACCCCTCAACAAGCCTTGGCCAGTATGGCGTTAGCATATAACACAAAATACCACATAACACACAATTAATGACATTTCAATTATGAGGACAGAAATTCTCTTCAGAATATTAGTTGAATGTAGTCAAAACCCCAATGGAAACAGACACTAAGGCACATCTCTGAGAAGGGCTCAGAGCCAACAGAGATTTCTCTTTGCACAAGGGATGATAACCGTGGAACCCGCAACTGACGCCCTGAGCTGTGGTAGGACTAATATAGAAAAGCCTTCTCATGTGGTTTAGCAATAAGCGTATAAACCAGTCATTACTAATTATGTCACGGGAAAAACGAGCCGCACAGGCTAAGCTAATTCACCAGAGGCAACCAAAAGACTGCCACACCGCGACCTGCTGGCCAAACACACATCAGAGCCATCTTCAGCGTCTGTGTTGACAACGTGCCCTGCCTGCAGAGGTCACCCTGGGTACGATGGTTCTGAGGGGCCTGAGTGTATCACGGAATCACTATGGTTGGAAATGACCTCTAGGATCATCAAGGACCCTTGAGTCCATCTCCACCAAAGAGCAAGGCCATGGCAAAGAGGCGACAGTAAGGCACATCCTTTGAGCAAGCCATCGGTGCAGAATCGGGTTCGGCACTGTATAAGGGTACTGGTATAAACCACATGCAAGCCCACAAATGGCTCCATAGCCCCTTAAATAAATTTACATTAGGTCTACAGCACGCCCACCTTGCATCCCACCTACGTAACTCTCCCACTTTCCTGTGGGTCTCCCACCTTCCCTAGTTTCTAATCTAGTGTCTGGTTTCCAACAGTTTCACGAGCACCTGAGGAGGGCACACCACAAGGCCGAGAACAAGTGTTTCTCCTGGCAGCAGTGTTAGTGATTATACATACAGGTAACACTACAGCCCAACAGAAAGTAACCAGCTGAACCACTAAGAAACAGACACAAAGAGCCCACCAAAGGGGACAAGGAAACTTGGTAACAAACTGTCAGATCTCTCCATTTTCAAAAACATTCTTTTCAGCACAGTGACCAAGCTGAGCACCGCTCAACTGACAGGCAACAAAGTCTGACAATGGGCTTTTAGCCAAGTTCACTATCTGAATTTTTTTGATGTCATCATCCCTCCTCAAGGGACAGCTCAGTTCAGTTTGGCTCTTCCCAAGTTACACATTTTGCATCTTAAATGTTTCCTATAAAACCTGTCCGCTGAAGCAAGAAATAAAGAAAAAAATCTCCTAATGATGAATTAAATGAACAAGTGGTTTAATGTTACCTGCAGCCACTCACAACAACATAAAAGCCCCATGAAGGGTTGAGGGCAGGGTGAAACAAGGCTACCAAGACTCATGGATGCTTCAAACTAGTACCATGGTCCCCTGCTAACTATGTAATACTAATTCTAATCTTTTGGAAAATAAGTGCTTTGCTAATAGTAAAAGACAACAAACCATATGCTTATACAGAAATTAAAACATATTCTTGTTCTGTTTAGGCAGCCTGTATCTCTCTGAACAGCACATCAATCTGCAATGAGAAGCACACACAAGGAAGGTGCACCTGACCCAAAAGCCCTCGTTTTTGCAAATACAACCTCACCCAGAAGGAGAGCCCAAAATACTAATACTATTCTTAAATCTAAGAAAGCACGCAAAGCAGATCAGGCTATAACCACACACTCTCACTGTAACTTCACGACTGCACTTCATTTATACTAGTAATTGAAATAATTTTGATCATAGATGTTACCAAGATCTGCTTTCATTCATTTTTAAAATCCATTAAAATTAGTTAAATTAGTTAGAAGTTATGCAGAAGAACCCAGCTCACTTCAGAACAGTTACTCCTCAGTATCAGAGACATGTATACACGCACATATATTTTAAGAAAGCCTTGCAGCCCAGTGTCAGCCAACCCAAGCACAGGACAGAAACATCCCATACCTCTGGAGCTCAAGCTGGGCACTCACTTTCCAAGACCAGTTTTCAGGAATGC